GCCCCCGCGCCCCGCTGAGCCCCCGCTGTGCCTCTACCCGGGGGCACCGCAGGGAGCCCCCATGGTGGCCGGAGGCCGGAGCAGCGCTCCCCGCCCCGCCGGGGGGGGTCTCGTCCGGACCGGCACAGCTCGGCCCCTCGGGGCAGGTCCTCCCCCTCCCCAGACGCCGCTCCCGCTGCCGGCCCCGGGCTGGAGGGTTCTTCAAAGCTTCAAAAGCGAAATAAAAACCCCAAACCGAAACTGCGTGGGAAAGCGGCCCGGGAGGCCGCGCTCGCTGGTAACCCCCTGTGCGGCAGAGATGAGAGAGCAGCCCTGCATCGCCGAACAGCCCCCCCCGGCCCCCCATCGGCACCCCGGAGCTGGGAACCCGGGGTGGGGAGATGGGGGAAACCCTGGGGGGATTTGCTCTGCACCAGCCCCGTGGGCTCTGCTCAGGCCCAGGAAGCCAAAATGGCTGCAGGGGGTTATAAGAGTGTGAGATCCTGGGGTTTGGGTCAGCAAGCCTGGGCCGCGCTGGCGCCGCAGCAGGGCTGCTGGTGCCAGGCAGAGCTGGCCACTAGCCCCTGGCTTGTCCCAGGCAGGGTGCCATGGAGGTGCTGTCGGTGTCTCTCACTGCCGGGCTCCAAGGCCCAGCTGAAGTTCAGGCTGGCCAAAGGTCCCCAGGGCAGCCGGGATCCCGTTTAACTGTGCTGCAGCCGGGCGAGCGAGGAGGTTCTGCGGCGTGCCCAGGACACGTCCCTCGCAGGTGTCTCTGGCCGAGAAACCCCCCCGTGTGCCGGGGGGTGGCTGAGCTCCAGCTCCGCGGGGCCGAGCTGGGAGCTGAGGGTGGGCTCATTTATTTCCTCCACTCGGCTGAGCATTCGCCCACGGCCGCTCGGCCCTGAGAAAGGCGACAGAGAGGAATCCCACGGCGGCCGGCAGCAGATGCCTGTGGAGAGGAAAACCAGGGCAAGCGTGTCGTGATACGGCCCCAGAATGGAGGTGGTGGGGTGGGGAGTGTCCCTCGCCTGTGGCATCAACAGCCCTCTTCTCGACAAGGAGGTTGTGAGCGGCACGGCCACCCTGAATGTGTGTTCAGGGGGGAGCCGGGGGGGGACGCTGCCCTAAGTCAGGAAACAAAACCCAGCTCCAAGACAGCTGGTTTGAGCACGGGACCGCGATAAGGAAAAAAGGCAGCAGGAAATGAAAGGGCCAGAGCTGCTTTTGGGTTTGGCAGCGCCTGCGGGATGGCAGGGCACAGGCAGTGCCATCGCACCCCAGCTGCCTCCTCCTGCCAGGGCCCTTTGCAGCACAGCGTGACGTTAAGGGAGCTCAGGCCAGAGGGGGGAAATCAGAAAAGAGCCAACGTCTGTTTGTGTTGAAGCCATCCAGCATTTTTTTGCAGACATCAGCCAAGCAGCAGCAGCAATGCCATTGGTGGGAAGACGGAGTTATTTGGGGAATGCTGGACTCCGCACCATGAGAACAGCAGGGGAGGAGGTTGGTTTTAATTTAACAGGCCATGTTTACTCTTCCCCTCTCACCTTTGGACTGTCTGAAATGTGCAGCGAAAGCCCCAGCGTGGAAGAAGGGGCCACGAATGCTTCCCCCTCCCCATGGCTGCTCCCAGGCCCCCCCCACCCCCCTCAGCTCTGCCACTCTGCAGCGCCTGGGTGCAGCAGCCTCCCACGTTGCAGACCTAGGGCAGGGATTTCTCACGCAGTAAAAAAAACAGGCAGATGCAAAGCTTAAAAAATACCCAGCTTTAATCTGTAGACTTGCAAAGAGAGACCTGGGAGCAGAGCAGAGGTGAAGGAGGCACGGGGCAGGTGACAGGTGAGCAGCTCGGGCACAAGGCCAGGCAAGATGCTGGCAGGGACAGATGTGCCAGACAGTCCTCAACTCCTACGTGCAGCAGTACCATGCCCTCCCACAGCTGCCCTTTGCATCAGTTCTTCAGCTCCATGACCAAATATTCATCATCTCACCATCCCAGGTAGTGCTCAGGGGAGCTGGTAGCGTGCTCGAGGGGTTGGCAGGGCCAGGCTGAGCACCAGGGACATGCAGCAACGTGGGCCCCAAGCCTTGCACCCTGCACCCTGCCAGTGCCCAACCTAGCAGTGTTTGAAGCATCTCAGGCATCTCCTCTCCAGAGAGTGGGTTTCAGCTGCTATTTGCCAGTGGCAGGAAGAAAGTTGTATTACACATACAGTGATGGGAGGGAAACCCAGCCCCAGGCCACTGTGGGCACCTCCACCCCACCAAATCCAGCCTGCGTGACGCTGGAGATGATTTTTTCTGGATTGAAAGGAAAAGGTTTTTCTCATTAAAAACAAAAAAGTGTCTAATCCTGTGGCCACAAGAGTAGGGAATTAAGTTTTTTCCAAATTGCCGTGTGTACTAGAAGTGCCCCAAACATTGCTAGAGTGCTCTCAGGGGAGTTTTATTTCTCACGCCAGCTGCACAGGCAGGGAGCAGGCTTGGCTGGACGCTCCCCCACCCCGGCCCTTCCCTCCAGCAGAACCGGGACACAATGGGGACATCACTGCCTTCGTGGCAGCAGGAGGATAAAAGCCAACAGCAGCAACCACAGCAGTGAGGAGCCACTGCCGAGGGTGGGCACTAGCCACACCCGGGCATGGGGCAGCTTGGGGGGCAGAGCTGAGGGTCTCTGGAAGTAAGTCATAGCCTGGCAGCACCAGGGGCATGATCAGGCCCTTTCAGCCAGATGAGAGCAGCACCAAGAGCAGGGATGGCTGCAGGGGAGGAGAGGGCCGGGGGCTGCATGGGGGCTCATCCGTGGCACACACATGGCCCCTCCAGCTGCTCCAAGGGACCCCTCAGTGTGGGGCCGTATCCTGCATCCTGCTTGGGTGATGGAGGCATCCCCATGACTCACTGGCCAGGCTGGCATTCATCACACCACTGTTTTTTGACATTGCCCCGCCTGGCGGCAGGATCCGGCCCCAGGGCGATGGCTCTTCTTATGCATTGTCCTGTCCATGCTTGGCTTGTCAGAGCCTGGGTCCCTCAGTGCTCGAGAGCAGGATTGGGCCCCTGCTCTGCCTCCCGCCTGCCTGCACCCCCGGAGCTGCTGGCTCCTCCCCACCGCTCTCAGGCGAAGGCACAGCAGCTGGATTTCTTCTTCTGTGACTCGATGTAGTCATGGATCTGGAAGCGTGGCTCGTCTGGCGGCTGCACCGCACGCTGCTTCAGCTCCCTGGGGTGGTGGGGCCACGTTACCACCACTCACCCGCTCCAGTGTGGGTGTGGGAGGTGGTGAGGCTGCAGGGGACATCTCCCTTGCCGCTCCCCTGGTCCCCAGGTACTCACTTGGCAATGGCCAGGAAAGCCAGCTCCACGTTCATGCCCGTCTTGGCGCTCGTCTCCATGAAAGGCACCCCGTACTCCTGCAAGGGCAGCACGACCCCGTCAGCGGTGCTGAAATGCTCTCCTGCCCCTCCAAATCATCCCTGTCCCCTGGCTTGGGGACAAGGTGCCATCCCCTCCCTGCCTTGCTCTTGGTTTTGTTGTGCAAGCAGCTGCCACGCTGCCTGTGATAGAGCCAGGCAGGTCTGGGCACCCGTCAGAGGGGATGGCACGGCCGTGTGGGGACCCTGAGCAACATGCAATTATCTGGGGGGGGTTCAGCCGGGTTAGACCCTGGCATGGCTCACCCTGGCCAGCGATGCTCCATCCTCCGTCCTCACAGCCCTCTCACTGCTCACGTCGGCCTGCCAAGGGAAGGAAAGCATCACTGTGTACCAGGGCCAGCTGGCACCCTGCGGGCATCTGGCAAGCAGGCAGAGTGGGGTGTGCAGGGGCCTGCGAGGAACTGGGGGTGTCAGAGACCCAGGAACATTCAGTGACCAGAGGAGAATTCGGACCCGTTGAGCATCTGGGACCTGGTGGCATCAAGGATGTGGGGGGGCATCTGGGACCTGGAGACCTGAGGCAGCATCCAGTACCTGGGGGTACCCAGGACCCAGCAGGACTTCTGGTGTCCTGCTGGACACCGGGTACCCAGCATCACCCAGGATTCAGGGGGCATTCAGTCCCTGAGGAAAATCGCGTACCTAGTCAGGTATTAGGCACCTGGCAGCATCTAGGACCTGCGAAGAGAATCTGAGACCTGATTGGGCATCTGGCACTTGGGGCTACCTGGGATCTGGTGGTGCATCCAGGACCTGGGTGGGCATCCCATACCCAGCAGCATCCCACACCCGGAGCCTTAGCCTCGTGCTGCCCCCCACTGGCTAGCAGGAACATCGGGCCCCGCCTCCGACACCCTCAAACCTCGGGGGTCACCTCTGGCCCTGGCTGAGCCCAGAAAGCAGCAGAGCCAGGCGGGGGGTGTAAGCAGGATGCACCCAGCCAGCAGGCAGAGCACCCACCGAGCCCCATCCCTCCACAGCCACAGGGCACAGCCCGGATCGGCACAGCATAGCTCGGCTCAGCACAGCATGGCACAGCACAGCACGGCACAGCAAACCGCGGTGTGACGGGAACCCTGCACTCACCTTATTACCCAGCAGCATGATGACCACGTCCTTCTGGGCGTACTCGTGGATCTCTGTCAGCCAGGCCTGCGGGGCAGCGGGGCTGTGTTGGGGTGAGCGGTACCCCCATCCCTCCCCTCTCAGCCCTCACACCCTGCCATGATGATGGGGAAAACGAGGGTTTTTTTGGCATGGGAACCATTCCAGCATCACAGCTGAACAGTCCTGAAAACGCCCTGTCTCCTGGCCACGACCCAAGCCTACCCATGGTTCACATCCATCCCAAACCGCGTTTTTGCCCTCCAGCCATTTACCGTGTCCCTAAACAAAACTCACCCAGCCATGCAGCACCCAGCCAGGTGCCTCCGGGACGAGCTCCCAGCTGGCTGGGTCTGGCCAAACCAGCCAGTGCTTATGTGTAAAACAGGCTCCAAACTGCCCCAAACACCCAGCAAGCCACGCAGGGCACCCACAACCCCGATCCCTGGGGAGAAACATGCTTCTGATCCATGGAGGGGACTCACGCGGATGTTGTCAAAGGACATCTTGCTGGTGATATCATAGAGCAAGAGCAGGGCTGGAAGGGAAGAGGCAGAGGCATTGCCCCACTGCAGGGTTGTGCTCTGGCTGGTGTCCCCCATCTCCACCAGACCCCAAACCCACCTTGGGCATCCCTGTAGTAGGCATGAGTGACGCTGCGGAAACGCTCTTGTCCTGCTGTGTCCCAGATCTGCTGAGAAGCCACCCTGGTGAGAGCGGGGAGGGGAACCCCCCCCCCAGCTGGGGATGCCTCTGTGGCTCCTGGCCCTGCCGGACCACCACACTCAGCCGGGGGGGGGGGCAGGTTTCCAGCAATCTGGCTGGGAATTGTTCACCCCTTCCCAAAGCTCACCTGCAACTTCACCTTCACACCGTCCACAGCCACCACTTTGTTCTGCAGAAGAGAAGAAGAGCCCCATTGTGGAGCTGGCCATGTCCCAGCCCTTCAGCCACTCTCCCCTGGCCAGCAGGATGAAGCCAGGCTGTCCGTGGGGCTGGACAGCGAAGCCTCGCTGCTACAAACTCTGGTCCTGCTGGGGGGCTGTGACGCCACATGGCAGCTACAGAGACATCCCAGAGCAGCATCCCCTCATGCCAGGGTGGAAAAGGGCAGACTTGGGCCCTGACAGAGACAGGACAGCAAGATCCCAGACTGCTTTGGACCCAGTACTTCGCTCATCTCCTACAGTCGGTGCCCCTGTCCTGTGGCTCCCGAGCCCCTTAATGAGCTGGCTAATGATGCAGGCTGCCCCGCAAGGCACAGGGATGCCAACCTGCTCTGGCTCCTGCTGGGTAGCCCTGGGCTTGCAGTGGCCCCAGCCCAGATGGCCAGGGGAAGTTCATCAGAGCTGGGGAACTAGAGAGATCTTGCATGAACTACATGCAAATGTACATTTATTAATAACATCTTGGTGTGCTTTTATAACGTCTGCCCTCTATTAAGCCCTGACCCTTCTACCAGGATTCCTCTGCTCCATGTGCCGAAGGAACCACCCCTGCACTATAAATTTGGGCTCCTTCCAGCAATTTAATGCTTTTGGATGCTATGAGCTACCTGGGGATGCTCAGTGGGTGATGCTGGGGTGTTCTTGCTGGGGGGGAGCCTTGCTTGGCCCTTAAAGGTGGTTGCACACACTGAGTTAGGGGGGTCGCACGCAGCTTTATCCAGCATGGCAGGAGGAAATCTCCCAGGTCAGGGCAGTTTGCAGCCAGGCATCAGGGCCGCTCGAGCCTGCGGCTGGGCTGGGACTGGGGAAGGGAAGCAGCATTTGTAAATGAGGAGGGAAGACAATTATTGGGGCTTAAGCAATCACTGTACGCAACTTAGAAGTGCAGGGACTTCTCTCCAGAGGCCCATGAAAAGAAAAGCAGGATTTACCAAAGGGCTATTTTAAGACTCTTAAAGAATTGTACTTGGAGGGATGATTCTGGAAGGAGAAGACCCCTATAAATAATTTGGTTGCCTGGAATTGTTTGAAATGGAAATTCAGCTCTTGTGTAGATGATAAAAGTTGAAAAAATGGGCTGAATAAAACAGAAAATGTGCCCTAGGAGATGCTGGAAGTCACCAACCAGCAGCAAGGCATGAGCTGCTGGAGGGGATGCCTGCATGGAGCAGAGCAGGTACCTACGAGCTGGCAACACCCCTGGGGCCACCAGTGCTGAGCCCAGCAGTGGGACATGGCAGATTTTCCTTTTCTCATGACTTTATTGGAAGGACAGGCCACGAGACCCTTCCAAAGCGAGCCCATGGCCCTCTCCCCAGCCCCTGCTTACCAACCCCCCAGTTCCCCCTTCAAGCCAAGAGCAGCCCGGGTAGCAAAGGCAGCACAAAACCAGAGTATCTGCGGAGGCAGAGGAAGCGCCAACCGCACATGACACGTGTCGGCAGTTGTGGGCAGAGCCCAGACCGGGGACACCCCCCCGTGACTTCCAGCCTGCTGAAACACTGCTCTACCCTGTGCTGCAAACAGCTCTGCCTGCCCGCGGCCCCCCGAGAGACCCCCGTAGCTGGAATTTGGTGAAGAGAGAGCAGCAGGAGAGTTTAAATGGGATCTAGTGACCTAAATAACTCCTCGGCAGCCCACTTCAGCCCTTTCAAGGCACAAAATTACAGCAACCAGTGTTTGTCTCCCCAAAACCACTGGCCTCAGCCTGGCCAGTGGAGCATGCCAGCCACCCACTGCACACCCCCAGCCCACGCACCCAGCTGGGATAGGCTAAATTGAGGCTTTTTGCTGATTTAAAGGCAAGAGTGCTGCTCTCAGTGGGTTCTTCTGTCTGTTACTGCTCTCCCGGGGAGAGTTGGAAGGGTTTCAGCAAGCACTTGCTGCTGGTTGGTACATTATGTGGGGTGCAGAGGCTGGAAACCCCCCTGTCTCCCCTTTTCAGTGCCCCATCCTGGCTGAGGTGTGGGTCTGGGGAGGCAAGGGGGTGGCAGCCATGGTGGTCTCACCCGGAAATCTATGCCCACGGTGGCTATGAACGTCCCGGAGAGAAAGGCCCCGTCTTTGAACTGGAGCAGGAAACAGGTTTTCCCCACGCCCGAGTCTCCAAGTAACATCACCTGCAAGATGGGCGCAGGGAGAGGCGTCAGCAGGTTGGGGAGGGGGCAGCGGTGCTGAGCCCCCCCCCGGTCCCTTGTGTCCCTTCATTTCTTTCCCCAGGGATGGTCCTGCTGGGTCTGGGGACCTTGTGAGATCTGGGGGAGGGATGGGACCCCCGAGAGTGCAGCCAAGCAGAGCCTCAGGGCAGCAGAGCAGTCCCCAGCCACCGAAGAAGGGGAGAGCAGAAGAGGAGAGCTGGCAGGAAGACAGGTACTGCAGCAAGAAGAGATGTCTCCTGCCAGCCCCTGGCTGTCTCCTAACCCAGGAGGCTTCTTGGAGAACCGGCAGCAGCTACTCAACACGTGGAGCCACGTCCACCCCCAGCCCGGGCGTGCCCAGCCCCAGGGCTGATGCATGGCTTGGGCAAACGCCACCATGTCCGGGACTGCCACAGACACCAAAGCAAACACGGTGCCTTTTCCCCTCCTGCTAAGCAAACAGGCTCAACCTGGGCTCCCCAACCACTCTGGCACGTCTGGACCCGGGCAGGCAGCAGCCAGGACTGATGCTGGTCTCGCTAAGCACAGCCTTACCCGACACCCCGATGCCTTCTCTCCTCCCTGCGCGCCGGCAGCAGCCCTTTCCTGCCCAGCAATAATTAACCTGATGCTGACTACATCTATCCCCTGCCTAAAACTGGCAGCGAGCAGGACTCCAGCAAGAAGGTCCATCCCCACAAACCCACCCTGCGGGGATGCTGGAGCCTGCAAAGCAAACCCACGCAGCCCCACTGCCCCTGGGCTGGGCAAACACCGTGAGCTGTGGCCACCTGCCACAGGGATGGCACAGCAAATGCCCTGGGGGCCAGCACAGCCAGAGCTGGAAGTGCTCTGCCCCCTGACAGGTGACTTAGCTGCTCAAATCCTTCCCCCGGACACCCCTACCCAGCCCAAGCTGGAGGGCAGCTGGAAACACCCCTCAGTTCTGCCTTCACCTTGCTTTGGATGAAGTTGGCAACTGATTTCCTCCCTCTGACACAAAAATCACCCTCCACTGAAAGGAGTCAGAGCCGGGAGGATAAAGGCAAAGGAATAAAAGCAGTTTAGGGAAGGTGGCAGCACTCAGGACCACTTTGGGAGCTAGCTCAGCAAGGTAGGGGGAGGTCTCAGGGCTGGTCCCATGGGTGCTGGGCTCAGCCTGGGGCTGTGTATTAAATTTTTCGATTAAAAGGCTCCTCGGCCCTGAGCCTCCCCTCTGCCGCCGGGAAGAGTAGGGTGCTTCTGCGGGCTGACCTTCGGCCGAGCTGGGCTGGGAAAGAAGGGTGCTCTCGGGGAGGAGGGTCCCCATCCCTGGCAGGGGCGTGGGGGTGTT